GTGCGTTGTTGGGTGGGCAGATGCGGGAGGAGATGGGGAAGCCAGCGACCCACCACGCGGAAACGAAACGGCAAGGGGGTGCTGCAATTCTTGAGGGCTACCGCATGCCGTCGCTCCACGGTCGATGGTCGTGCTGCGTGACCCGCGGCAACCATCGCCACGCCACGGTCTGCCAGGCGACCCCGCCCCGCGCAGTCCGGCTCCCCCAACGGCGGCGTGCCGCGACGTTCCTTGCCCCGCCAGCGCGGTTGCGGACGGGAAACGGCGCCCCCTCCATGCGCACCCGCGAGGCCGTCGTCCTGGTTCTTGCTGATGTGTGAGTGCACCACGTCCAGCAGCACCAGCAGCCCCAGGCCGTGGGCCGCGTCAACCAGGGCCTGGGGGTGGCGGCCACCACGCCAGGGGGTTCAGGAAGGCGAGGAGGCGGTTAGGGATGCGGATTGAGTAGAGGGGGCCAAAGGGGGTGGGGGGTGAGAGGCCGATGGGGGGAAGGGAGGAGGGGATGGATCCCGGATGAGCGCGCAAGGGGCGCCTGTTGTGCCCGGCGGCGGCCTGCTGCGAGGCGCTGCGAAGCTCCGTGGTGCGCTGTCACGTTCGCCCGCCCCCAGCCCCCTAAGAACACCCTGGGCCCCCGACTGAGTTCGGTGTCCTGCCCAAAGCGCCTTCGCCGAGGCTCTCGCTTCCCGGTGTGTCAGCGGCCCCGTGCTCCTTCCACCCATGCCCTTCATAACCACCGCAGCTCGGCAGGCGAAGGCCGATGTAACCCTAGGCCGTGCAATCGCCAGGCTGCTGTTGCTGCTGCTGTTGCTGTTGCTGCTGTTGCTGTTGCTGTTGCTGCTGTTGCTGTTGCTACTGTTGCGGCCGCACCTTGAGGTCCTCTGGCGTGCCGCTGCGGCTGCTGACGGCGAAGGGGTTGGTCACGTGGTAGCCAAAGCTGCGGGCGCCGTTTCAAGGGGAGATCGGAAGGAGAACATGGTGAGGGGAAAGGGGGCGCGGGTTTTGGACGCGGCCTTCGTTGGGTTGTTTTCGTGGTTGCATAGGGCATGGACTACACGGCGGCCGGCATTTTGGGGGTTGGGTGTTTGCGGCAGGCGGAGCGTCCACAATGGGGGAGACAAGGCAGCCACTGGGCCGTCATCCTTCTGCCCACCTGGCATAGTAGGCATGCTCCTGCAGGTCACAAAATGTGGGCCATGCGGCACGAGACATGATTTGGAAACTTGTGTTGTCATGTCCAAGGGCAGCACCACGTGTGGGGCCGGTGCTGCTGCCCTTGCATGCATTGCTGTTCCCCGTTGCTGCCCGTCCCATCTTGAACCGCTTCGCCTTCCGCCCCAACCATTCCCTTGGTACCTCTACCCGGTCAACACAGCCCGCCGCAGCAGCGCGGTCCACATGACACCCCCGCGCTGACCTGTATGGCCATGAGCTGGATGGCATTGTAGCCCTGGGCCTTGATGCGCGGCAGCACAGCCTCGATAAACTCGCGGTAGGTGGACACCTGGAGTTAGGGTTGGGACAGGGATATGATGTTTGGAAGGAGGGGGGAGGGGATTTGGGAACTTGCCAGTGGTGGAGCACAGGGAGAGAACAAAAGAGAGCAAATTGCGTAGGAGAGAGGCCTGAGAGGCCTGTGCGCGGGCGAGGGCCTGAGGGCGCTGCTTTCCAGACACAAACACATCTGGCTGCTTGGCCCCGCCAAACGGGACCTGCTGCGTGCTCGCACGGTCACACCGCCCTGCCGCTCTCCCTGTCACACATTCCCTGCTCCCTGCTGCGTGGCGCAGCCCCCTCCCTGCAACCCTCCCACCCCCCCACCGGCCCCGCACCTTCTCGGCCTCCCCGCCCATGCCGACGTGGGCCTCGTATATCCGCAGGCCGCGCGGCTTGGCGGGCCGCGGGTGCACCCTGCATGGTGGGTCGGCCGATGGTTGGCTGGGCGGCCGGTGACACTGGGCTGGTGCAGGCGGGGGAAGCCTGGCGGGCGGCGTGGCGCGTGGCCGCACGCTTCCACCAGGGCCACGGTGGCCCGCAGCTTTGTCGCCGGTTGTGCGCAGAGCTATCGGGTTTTTTTCCCCATTTTCGGGCTTCAGATAGCATCCTCCAGTAACATACCCCGGCACACGTGCACGTGCACGCACGCATTCACACACTCACACGCACATCCACGCACGCACCCACACACAAACACATACATGCACAAAAGCACGTTCACAGACACACATCCCACAACCACATCTGATGGATTTTTTTTCGCGCCCTTGCCCCTCCCACCCACCCCCTGGGCCACCCACCACTCGTGCTTCTCTCCCTTTGGAGGGTCCCAGTAGACGCCGTTGTATTTGGCACCCATCTCACCGGCAGGGATGGTTGCATACCTGATGTGATATGATTATGTACGGAACAAAGTTGATGGAGTTGAGCGAATGGAAGCGGCACCAGAGGGAGGACGGCGGCTGGGCTGCCGCGATGCTCGGGCAGCGCCGGGGCTGTGCGACTGACGGACACAGGACGCGTGCGCTGCGCTGTTCACACACCAAGGTGGAGTCTGGGCTCCCTTACACCCCCCCCCCAAAAAAAGAAAAGTGCATGGCCAAGGTCACGTTTGTGCCCGCCGCTCAGACCTTCAGGTGCGGTCTGCCCCGGTCCCGCACCGCTGACCCCCTCCTTTACGGCATGCGCCGCCGCCCCTCTCACTTGATCCAAGCCGGCACCCTGTCGGCCCACCAGCCCTGGAAGGTCTGCAGCCGCACCTTTACGCGACTGCCGTGCGGGATGGCGGGCCCGTCGGGGCCTAGGGGCCGGCAAGGGTGAGCATGGCTGTCAGAAAGCGGGGCGAACCCCGGACTCGAGGCGGCGGCTGCCGTCGAGCGCTCTCGTCCTTTGGCGCGCGGCTGGCCAGGTGGAGCTTTTGGTTGCTGCTGCAAGCGCCGGTCAGAGGCCGGCGGCCGCCACTCGGCCTCCCGCTGCGGGGCTGCCGCTCAAACACTACAAACACGCGGCTATGCACAGCGACGCGGGCCGCAGCGGCACTCGGCTGCACGCGACACATCGCATGGGACCGCAACCGCCGCCCCGTGCGCGCGCACCGTCCGGCAGCGTGACGCTCCAGACCCCGAACTCGCCCTTCTCCATCCACACGGGCTGCCACCCGCTGAAGTCGCCGATAAGCGCCGCCGCCGTCGCCGCGGGCGCCCACTCGCGGTACACCGTGGCGCCGCCCTGCCTGGTGAACCCCAGCTGCTCGTAGCCCTGAGGGCGTGCGGGACAGTATGTGGCGGTGCGGACGCGGGTGTGGTGCATTGGCAGGCCCAAGTAGCGGGTAATCAATGAGGTGCAGCAATAGGGCCGCACACCACATAGATGCAGAGGCACGAAAGCACGCGCGCACACGCACGCACATAAGCACGAACGCACGCATGCATGCCACACACAACACATCCTCACAAACACACACACCACGCACAATTCGACTGCAGTCACTCGTTTGCACAAGTGCATGTACAAAAAACGAAGGTGTGCCCCAACCCCCACCTTTGCAAAGTCGGCGATGCTTTCAAAGCCAGAGCCCAGGATCTCCTGCCGCGCCGCCTGGTAGCGGCTCCAGCGGTAGTCCAGGTGGTCTTTGAAGCGCCTGAGGTCGGGGTCCACATCATATAGGGCCTGGGGGGTGGCAGGGGCGGCCACATGAGGCCAGGCGGCAGTGGGGCAGCTGTCGAGCAGGTGGGGCGGGCGTGGCTTCCGGATGATGACTCGGAGCGGCACGCCCTCCCTGAACAGGCGGGCGCGGATGCGCGCTGGCGAGTGGAGCGCCCCGCGCACCAGGTGCTTGTCGCTCTGGGCGCTGTCGACTGCGACGGCGCTGCATACATGTCTGGGCGCATGCTGTGCCGCGCTGCGCACTGGGGGGGCGACGCCCCATGCGTGCGCCGGAGGGCGCGCCCAGTGCCCAATGGCTGCGACGTGACTTGGGACGGGCCTCAACCGCTGCCGCGTGGTGCTGGCTGCCAAGGTTGAGCGGGCCCCCGAGCGCAGGGTCTCCATAGATGATCGGGCGTGATCAGCGTTGTAGTCGACGGCAAAGCTCAACAGTAAGTAATGATTTATGTCGGCTTGATACAAGTCGCTTTGGCATAAAGGGTCAAGCCAAGCGGTCACATGTCCCGAGATCCGGTGACATGATCTGTTTCCTTGAAAAAAGGATATCGGATCACAATCTGTTGCCATGCTTTTAAGTAAGCACTCAGGACATTGCTGCGCGGTGCAATGCTGGCATCAATCATGGGTAGGACGCAGTCAATGCCAAGGACATCGTTGACCACCCACCCTCACACGGCCTCTGTCCCAGCCTCATCTACCGCCCTGATAGCCGCGAGGCTGAACTTCCACATGGCGCAATGACACGTTGCGGGTTGATGTTGTGGGTGTACTATTGGTATGGCGACTGCTTGCGCAGCATTGTCTCCAGCTGGCCTCCCATGTTGGGCCATTCTGCTGCGGGCGGTGCGGGCACACGGACAAAGCCAAGGAACCTGTCAATAACAACTTTGGAGTCAGTGAGCAGTAATGCAGGCCGGCGAGCAGGATTGTGTGCTGCGCCCGACGATGGCGTCGAACTGGGTCCCGATAGTCTTGTCAAGCAAAGGGGGCCTGTATAAAATGCGACACGAGAGTACCTCTTCCCATCTGATACTTGCAGTCATCCAGGAAGGACGGCACTTCTCAAGAAACGCCGTCACCTCTTTGGGAAGGCAGCGCTGGGGTGACATCCCACTACTGTTATGGGTAGTCCGCTCGACGTAACCCAAAGCCCGCACCTGCACACCTCCTCATCTCCTGCTGTGGCAAAAGCTGTTTTTATTGTACACCTTACTGTGGCCTGAACTCAGATCCCTCTGCTGCTCTGATCACCTCGCCTTCGCGCCCAGGTGATTTTGTGATATGAGTTCTGGTGGAACGGGTACGGGCAGGGATACCCCACTCGCTTTGTGCACTCCGCTGCTTGCCGCACACTTGCTCCTTTGATCCCCGGTGAGACGGTGACGGCCGACTACGACTCCAAGGTAATGAGGTATACTTTTATTGTGCTGAACGCTGATTAGATATTGTTTCGGTATACTGTGGTCGTCAAGTGCGAACAAGGTGCCGGTGTGTGTCAGGCAGCACTCTCAGGTTGACAAGTTGAGTCAGCCGGGCGAGGCCAATTGAGCAGAGAGCGAAGAATTCGCCGACCCACATGCGTACAAGAGGCGCGTGGACAAGTCCTCCGCACCCCTCGACTGATTCGCTTTGGATTCGTAGCAACCGCAATCAGTCCGCGCGCGATCTCGATCACAATGAAGGCAGCCGTGAGCCCCGGAGCGCCCCCTAAGTCGAGCATCATACACCTTGAAAAGCTGCCTAACTCCCTGGCGGACTACACCAGCGACATGCACGGTGCACGCTGCTCGCTTTGGCGCCGCGCCTGCAGGGGCACTGACACTGAGACACTGCGTCACTACTCCCACCCACTAGAATCGGCCACGCCGTGACCTCCCCTCCACAGCTGAGGTCGCCCCCAGCATGATGCAAACCGCACGCGCACGCGCCTGTCCCGCGCAGGCCACCTCGAAGCGATCCGCCTGTGCGAGGAGGCGTCGGCCTTCCTGGCGCGCCCCGCGCAGGCGCCGTGGGCGGTCCTGCAGGCCCAGCTGAAGCTGCTGCGAGCGCAGCTGGTGTCTGTGTACGGCATGTACCTCGCCAGCGGTTACAGCCGGGGTTTCATGGAGGTCAGTTGGGCTGCAATATGTGTGCGGGCAAGGCAGACCTGGGTGGGGGGGCCTGGAGTTCACCATGAGGGGCGCAGGAGGGGCGAAGTGGGCAGCACGGCGTCGTTTTGCAGGGGCGATTAGCCAAGGTGCGGCATGCATGTGGCATCACGAAAAAGGCCCCAGAGGAGGCAGCGTCTGTTTGAATGGGCGTCAGCTCGCAGGGATGGGCGGGCGGGTGTGGGGTGTGCATGTGTGATTTCGCCAGCATGTGTGTGTACGTGTTTGAGCGGAGGGGTGGCGATGGCCACGGCTGGGGCTTCCAGAAACGCTTATGTGGCAAGGATGCGCTCGACAGGCTGAGCAACCAGCTGGCACCAAACAGCAGTGCAGGCCCCATCCTGCCTCGCGCTGACGCCCGCCCCGCCCGCGCCCCGGCCGGGCCGCCCTGCTGACGCTGCAGCGCGCCCGGCTGCACCCACGGAGCGCCGCCCCGCCCCGCTCTCCCTGCCTGCGCCCGAACTCAAGAGCCACCCCAAGCACCCAATAACAAACCCACCAACCAACCACCCAACAACCAACCAACCAACCAACCAACCAACCAACCAACCAACCAACCCCCAGTCGCTGGCCCCCTTCGTCGGCTTCATGCCCATCGCTGACAACCCCGGCGGCGCAATCCTCATGAACGACACCGCCTGCAAGCAGCAGGCCGGCTGGGGGCTGCAGCAGGTGGTGCGGGTAACATGCGCGGGCTTCCTGTACCTGAACCAGGACCACGCAGTCGCGCGCACCAACCTGGAGGCTGTGGCCGGCTGGCTGGCAAACGTGAGGGGCGGGCGCGCGTGGCGCCCGTGGCTGGCCAGCCGAGCGGGCTGGGCGCGGCGGCATTCGGCGAAGCAAATTTTGTTGTTCTTGGCCGACCAACTGGCGCCCGGTGCCTCGGGTGGACTCCTGGGACTGGGGACGCCCCCGCCCTCCCCTCAGCTGCTCAGCGTCGCAGCTCCCCATGGGGCCCTCTCCACCAGGCCAAACCGCC